TAAAGATAGGAAGAAAGAGTGCAGCGAGTGAGACTGGGCCCCAGAGACTCCAGATCCTCCAGATCCTGCAGAGCAGGGACCCAGGCAGAGACTCCAGATCCTCAGAGCCAAGATGCCAAACGTCACCTAAGGAATGCATAAAGATAGCAGGGACCCAGAACCTGCAGAGACTCCAGATCCTCAGAGCCAAGATGCCAAACGTCACCTAAGGAATGCATAAAGAGATAGGAAGAAAGAGTGCAGCAAGTGACACTGGGCCCCAGAGACTCCAGATCCTCCAGATCCTGCAGAGCAGGGACCCAGAACCTGCAGAGAACCCAGATCCTTGCAGCAAGTGACACTGTGGACCCCCAAGGGCCCCAGAGACTGCCCTAAGGAATGCATAAAGATAGGAAGAAAGAGTGCAGCAAGTGACACTGGGCCCCAGAGACTCCAGATCCTCCAGATCCTGCGGAGCAGGGACCCAGAACCTGCAGAGACCCCAGATCCTTGCAGCAAGTGACACTGTGGACCCCCAAGGGCCCCAGAGACTGACCTAAGGAATGCAGAAAGATAGCAGGGACCCAGAACCTGCAGAGACCCCAGATCCTCAGAGCCAAGATGCCAAACGTCACCAAAGGAAGCATAAAGATAGGAAGAAAGAGTGCAGCAAGTGACACTGGGCCCCAGAGACTCCAGATCCTCCAGATCCTGCAGAGCAGGGACCCAGACAGAGACTCCAGATCCTCAGAGCCAAGATGCCAAACGTCACCTAAGGAATGCATAAAGATAGCAGGGACCCAGAACCTGCAGAGACTCCAGATCCTCAGAGCCAAGGTGCCAAACGTCACCTAAGGAATGCATAAAGATAGGAAGAAAGAGTGCAGCAAGTGACACTGGGCCCCAGAGACTCCAGATCCTCCAGATCCTGCAGAGCAGGGACCCAGAACCTGCAGAGACCCCAGATCCTTGCAGCAAGTGACACTGTGGACCCCTAAGGGCCCCAGAGACTGCCCTAAGGAATGCAGAAAGATAGCAGGGACCCAGAACCTGCAGAGACTCCAGATCTTCAGAGCCAAGATGCCAAACGTCACCTAAGGAAAGCAGAAAGATAGGAAGAAAGAGTGCAGCGAGTGAGACTGTGGGCCCCCAAGGGCCCCAGAGACTCCAGATCCTCCAGATCCTGCAGAGCAGGGACCCAGGCAGAGACTCCAGATCCTCAGAGCCAAGATGCCAAACGTCACCTAAGGAATGCATAAAGATAGCAGGGACCCAGAACCTGCAGAGACTCCAGATCCTCACAGCCAAGATGCCAAACGTCACCTAAGGAATGCATAAAGAGATAGGAAGAAAGAGTGCAGCAAGTGACACTGGGCCCCAGAGACTCCAGATCCTCCAGATCCTGTGGACCCCCAAGGGCCCCAGAGACTGCAGAGAAACATAAAGATCGGGAAGAAAGATTGCAACAAGCAAATTCGCAAAGCCCCGGCTTCTCTGGCGCACTCCCCCCTGCAGGGGTCGGCGGATTATAAATAACTGTAACTATTATGATAATTGTTATATGGTTTATCATAATAGTATCTTATATTATTATGTACTAATAGTATGTTATAACACATATGTATTTCTTCTTAAAAGACGTGTCCTAAACCCACACCTGGCCCGTGCGGTCGGTTCTTTCGCCGATTTCGCAGTGATGCGACTCAGCCGAATCTCGGCCTTGTTCCATGCCTTTGGGGCGCACTTCCTGGGAATGATCATCATGGGTTAAGATTATAGTGGTTCAGAGTGGTTAATAGTGGTTAAGATTATAACTTATCTTGGTTCAGAGTGGTTAATAGTGGTTAAGAGTTGGGTAAAAGTGGCTAATCATGTAGGATAGTGGTTAAGATTTGCCCAATCAAGCGCGGTTGTTGGTTGGTGATTCAAGAGCCACATAGACATAAACCGTTGTTATTGATCAGCGAATTTGGGGGGGGTGCAGGTGAAATCTCCCACAGAACCGAGAAGGGTTTGGCAACGGCTTATTAACCACCAAGAGACTTCAAGTTGGTGGCAATAAAGATCATGCAAGCAGTCAACAAGCACCCACATAGTTGAACAAGCAAGAGTGGATCGAATGAACTATACATATAGCCAACAAGTGCCAACAGATTGCCTGTGTGCAGCAATGGAAGATGCGCTTCCAACCTGGGTAAAGCTTGGTTATGTAGGACAACGGATTTTGTTTGTGCAACCAATCAGGGAATATTTCAAGCAACAAATGCACACTTTATCACTCTATTGTAAGGTGTCGACGATTGACCATGGCGACTGCGAGGGGAAATATGTGTTGCATAGTGAGATCACATGAAGGGTATGTAGCGAATAATGCCACAAATAGGACGAGGAGAAACTGGGAAGATCAAATTGAGGGTTTTCCAACCGACTTGTTTCCCAGCAAGTTTTGCACATCTTAATGACTTAGAACTCTTACCTACAACAGCCCCAATTGACTGGTGTTGAGAGCTGTCAGTTGTTAATGAAGGTTTGAGTGCTGAAGTTTCGAAACCTTGCAATGTCATTTAAGCAAAGAGGTTTTCACACCGTGGGCCGTTCAATTCTTAAGAAGTTGCCATACATATCTTAACATATCCATAAATGAATAAATGGTGATTTGAAGGGATTTATCTTAATATCCATAAATGAATAAATGGTGATTTGAAGGGATGTGTCTTAATATCCATGAATGAATAAATGGTGATTTGAAGGGATGTATCTTAATATCCATAAATGAATAAATGGTGATTTGAAGGGATTTATCTTAATATCCATAAATGAATAAATGGTGATTTGAAGGGATTTATCTTAATATCCATAAATGAATAAATGGTGATTTGAAGGGATTTATCTTAATATCCATAAATGAATAAATGGTGATTTGAAGGGAATTGAAGGGATTTATCAAAAAATATATTTTAACCATGTGAAAAAAGGTGTTTGTGGTGCAGTGTAAAAATGACCTAAAATGACCATCGATGTCTTCTGGGTTTCTGGGTCCGGGTTTCTCCGGCCGCCGAGGCGCAAGGGTCGCCAAATATCCTAATTGGTAATGATATAAGATATAAGTAAATATGATTTATAGCCATTTATAGCTTATAAATTTTGGTTATAAACAATATTTATACATATCATTTATTTGCATATATCTTAAAATAGCTGAGGAAAATGGCCATGTAGTTCGATGATGACCACCTCTTTTTTCAAAATAAAATTGATGTTCCATAGGCCCCGTAGCTATGTTAAATTACCAGAAGGTAAGTGGAATGATCATGAATGAACTATTTGTTGGGGGTCCTACATTCAAGATTCTGGAGAATGTTAGGGAAGTCATTGTACCAAAGTTGTATGTTGAGATCTGAAGACAACTCTGAAATCATGTTTAGACACCCTGCCCTTTTGGGTGTCTCAAATTAGTTAAGAACCTGCAGTACCATAGGAAACAGAACATTATACAGACTTGGTTGCGCAATGGCGCGTCAGTGTAGTTCCTAGATTTTCATCGATTTTGATGCGCCCACAGGCCGTGTGTTTGTGTCTAAGCTTTGGGGATCAGTAGAATCAAGGGTTTTCCACATGGTTGCGGCAAGCAATTCATTGTGCGCCAAAGAACCACAAATGGTTTGTTATTTGTGGGACATGATGTTGACTGGCACCATCTATAGTAAGTTTGTGGACTAAAAGCGGAGTACTCGTTTGACTCGCACGCTTTGGCCTAGGCTAGCATTTTTCGGATTATAGTTCCATGTTCATTAGTTATTTCCATTGCAATCTGGGTGGATTCTATGCACAACAAAACACAAATGGTTTGATCGACACACTCCCATGCGGAACAAGAGATTGCTTTGCCGTGTTCAACGGGAGCCAAATGTAAATGATTCACGCCACGGGGAGAAAAAAATCGGACGCCACTGTTACACGTTGGTGAAACCAACCAGGAATCAGAACGCAGTGAGTTTGTCCTCTGTTCTCACCACAAAATTCAAACCATGGGTTATTATGGTGTATTACTCGGTCGACCACATCAATGTGAATCAGGATTGCAGTAACAATCGATAACGTTTTTTGTCGCCTGTTTGAGGGCAGTGTAGTTAGTTTTGTTCATTTGCTCCCGGCAATATTGTACACAGTATAATAATAATGATAATAATAATATGTATATATATATATATACACAGAGTATATATATACATAAAGTGCCATACATACATACATACATACATGCAACTTTCTGGCATTCAGATGCATTCAGATCATTCGTGAGCACCACAAGCAGACATCCACTCAAAGTATTTGCGGTCTGCCAGTGTATGTTGCTGATATGCCCATAGTAAATAGGCACATTCCCAGTATCTTCAAATTCAACAGCATTCATATGTCACCAATCTCCCGCGAGAGATTTGTACAACTACACTCGAAAATACACAACGATTTTTCTTCGAATGCAACGGTAAACCTATCTATTTGCGATAGGTATGTCAGCCTGGGAATGACCATCATGTGCTTTCAATCATGGTTTCAATCATGGGGAAATTATCAGCAACATGTCACAAAAAAATTGGAAAATCCATGGAAAATCACATCGTGGATCCACTTTGGATGATGCTCAGATGCCATTTTTGGGGGCTGAAAAGTGCCTGGTTAATATTGACTATCATTCTGACCCATTATACTATATGTAGATCTATATAGATAATATATATATATAGAGATAATATATAGATAATATATGTGCATCATCATGCATCCCATTCTCCCATTCTCAAGCAACTGAAAGGGATGACTCCCAACAGACCACCAAGGGTGGCGAGTTTTTCATTGTTTTTTCATGGTCTTTTCCCCATGTTTTCATGGCCATTTTAGACCATAAAGAATGTTCAGGGTTTCACTGGCCGCATTTTTCCTCGAAAAAGAATTTAAAAAATGGGGCAATTTGATGGGCCCCATCCCCATCGGCAGGCATCTGGAGCTGAACGGAGAAAATGAAGGCGGACTTTGTGCTGGGTCGGATGAAGCTGGTGACTGGGTGATTCATCATAGACGGGGTTTACCCTTACCAGAGGATCTTTGCATACAGAGTATATCAACTATATGTATAACTTACAACTGCTACATGCATACCCTTCAGTAATCAAACATGGCAGTCGAACTTTCTCCATTTATATTTATATATATATATATATACATATTATACATATGATTTTCCAGCCTATAAACCTCTCATTTTTTTGATGTTCCAGTGCTACATTACCAGTGGCTAAGTCAACTTTGGCGTCTGGGTGATGTGTTGAATCGCCGTCTCATGGGAAACCTGGTGTAGTGTACCCTCTGGTGATGTCAAAATAGCTATTGAAAATGGCTATTTAGTTCGTGGATTTTCCCATGAAAAATGGTGGATCTTTCCATAGTTATGTTAAATTACCAGAGGGTAGGTGATTGGATGATATTGGATTCAAATTGGATGATTCCAATGTAGATACACCATGATTCCATCCATCAACTGTGGAAATACTCCAATTCTTGAAAAATGACATAGATTACATCATCACATTCCGTATATAGAGTAAATCTTTCCGGTAGCCGACCAGTTCCATGGATACATGATGCATGTCTTTGGGGAGAGGGTCGAAGATCATTGTGTTTTCATGTTTGTTCTTGTAGTATCCAGAACATATGGTATGTGTAAAATCTAGTCTTTATATGTATATAGATATATATATATATAGTATTCTACTAGTATTATTCCTTGAGTCTCTATGAGCTACTTTTTAGTAGTTACACATGGCTTGCTGCAAACCTTCCCCCCTATTTATAGTTGATGTCGCATCAAAATGTCCATTTCCACTGGATTTTCGCGCTAGCCATGTGTGACTATCGGAGGGTAACTCCAGTGTTTTAAATGCAACTCAGCCAATCACTTGGAGGTTTCCTCAAATAGGGTTACCTCAGTTACCTCTAAATCATCATAAATCATCCAATTATAGGAGTTTCCATTATGGTAACATCCTCAGTTACCTCTAAATCATCCTCAGTTACCTCTAAATCATCCATAAATCATCCATAAATCATCCAATTTGTCGGAGTTTCCATTATGGTAACATCCTCAGTTACCTCTAAATTCTAAATCATCATAAATCATCCATAAATCATCATAAATCATCCAATTATAGGAGTTTCATGGAGTTAAATAAACATAAATAAACCAGCCAGCTATTGGGGGTCCCAGTTATGGAAACCCGGGTTGAGTTCCCCGCTCTTTTCCAGGCGCATTCTCCGAGTTCAGGGCCTTCCCTGCGCGCAGGCGATCGTTTACGTGCCAAATCCATGGGAAAATCAGCCAGAAAAACATCGAAAAACATAGAAAAACATAGGAAAACATAGGAAAATCCATGAAACTTAACTCCCATAAAATTCATATATAACTTCATATATAATTCATATAACTTCATATAACTATCTCGGTTTGTCGAACATAGATGCAATGATGGTTTTGCCAATGAATGGGATTTGAGAATTCGGATATATCAGGCATACTATAGGGGTCTTAACATTCAGAAGTGAAGTTTATCGGAAGCTCCGCAGTCGTCAAACCCAGGGTGATTTGACCTGTGCCATCTGCATGGGTCCTCACTGCTTTTCCTCACTGGAATGATGCTTGGGTTTTCAGAAAGGTTTGAAACGGGAATCCTCCGAAAAAATCACGGAAAATTTCAGCTGATTTGATTTATTCAAAAAAAAATCAAATCAGCCAGAGATAATGATACAATGATGTTTAATAAGTTATAATGGGACCATTTTGTAAGTCTGATATTTTATCCAGATGATATCGTTACCAACATTCCCCCGAGTATAAGTAACGTTCGAATCTAGAATCATGGAAGTATAAAGGCACGTTCGAATGTGCTCTTGGAGGTCGCCCCCGGGTGAAGCACACGGAAGGACCGCAAATCCGGAGCCGGCTCCTCGGCTCCTCAGCTCCGCCGAACACACGTCGAATCTGCCGCAAAGCTCGGTGGTGTGAGAAACCGTTTGAAAGCTCATGTCCACGAGAGCTGGCTATGTGGAACCGAGGAGCTGTTCTGAGCTCATTGATCTTAATGTAGTATGCCTGAATGGTGAAGGATGCACGTTGAAGCTGAGTAATGCCACTCTGGGTCAGGAAGTGTACCAGATGGTATCCAAGCAGCTTCCACAAAAACCAGGAAAGCTGGCCCTGCATCATGTGGATTCACCTCTCGTGCTTCAACAACCATTGCAGGAGCAAGGCATTGTGGGTGCTGCGACACTGACATGCACCTATGTTCCAACAGATTTGGATGCTGCATGGTGTTTCATCCTAGGTAAACGCAGGTTACCCCCAAAACTACAGGAACTATTGGACGAGCTCCTACGAACAGAAGACCTTGCAGGCGCAACTGAAGATTTGGACCAACGTGTTGAAATGATCCTCTTCGAAGAGAAAAGTGATATGAAAGTCTTTGCAGAAGACGATGCGCAAGGGCTGACACAAATAGGAGGTATAGATTCAGAGATGTTGGGTCGTTTCAAGAATCTCCCAGAAAGCCTGGAAAGCCTGACATTTGGCTGGAGATTCAACCAGAGCCTGGAACGAGTGACCTTGCCAAGCAGGCTTAAGACTTTGGCCTTCGGCGATGGGTTCGACCAGAGCCTGGAATTAGTCGTTTTACCAAGCACCCTGGAGATTTTGACATTTGGGCATAATTTCAATCAGAGTCTCGAACGAGTGACATTGCCAAGCAGTCTTCAGATCTTGACATTTGGCCACAAGTTCAACCAGAGCCTCGAAGGAGTGACTCTGCCAATCAGTGTTGAGAGCTTGACATTTGGCCATTGTTTCGACCAGAGCTTGCAACGAGTAACACTTCCAAGCAGTCTTCAGAGCTTGACATTTGGTGATGGATTCAACCGAAGCCTGGAGCGAGTGACCCTTTCGAGCACGCTACAGAGCTTGACATTGGGTGATGGTTTTAACCAGTGCCTGGTAGGAGTGTCCCCATGAAGATCCTTCATGCATTGAAATCCCGTGAAGTTTTTCATAGATGGAGGATCCTGGTCATGAAGTTTGAGATTTTGTTCTCATTATACTTAGAAAACCCCGGCCATGAAGTCTTGATGATTTTTGTTGATTGTCGAGGAATTTTCGAGGGATCACACATGAATTATTCACTAATTAGGTTGTGGGCATCATGTTACAAAACATGAAAACACATGAAAATACAAAAAATGACCTTAGTATCAGATTCAGACCCAGATTTGAATGTGCTCCGGGGGTTGCAAGTATATATATATAATATAAATATATATATATACATTTATATATATATATTATATTTATATTTACATATGTGTTTAATATCATTTATATATAGAAATGGTTGCCCTCAGCAAAAAAAAACTACTGAATATGCTGTGGACGACCAGCCATGAGTAGTAGAATCACTGTTCAGCAGGCACAGACATCAACAGAAAATGCGTTTTATATACTTTGGATTTAGTGAAATCACTTCAAACGAATTTTTGATGGCACAAAAACATGGTGATTGCTTCAACCAAGTTTAGAGGTCTATAGAATCAGCTTTGGAAATTATTCCTGAACCAGAAACCTCCAACATAGACGTTTACGTTTGTTTACATGGTGCTGCAAAGTAAGTTCCAGGTTCCTATCCCCCGATTAGCAGGGCCTACTGCGGGAACATATTCATATACTGTATATATATATATATGTTCATAAACCATGGGAACAATTGGGCATCCATATTTTTTCAGACTATTCCACATTCTGTTTCAAGAAAATTGGTTTCCCATCTAAAAACCGATCAAATATGACTCAGTATGACGTATTACCAATTCTAGATTAATCTCGCTTCGTTGTTGGATCCCTAATTTCAGGAAACATCCACATATATATATACATATATTATTATTTATAATATGTGTATATATATATATAAGTTTATAAAATATTCCGTATAATTAGTGTGTAATTATTATATAATTAATATAAATATTGTATCAGTATCATATACCCAAATTCTCGCTGTGTTTCCCCTGGAGGTGCCAGTGGCTATGTGGATGGCAGTACACCACACCGACCACGACAAGTCTTAGGCGCCCTCCGTTGAGGATTTCGTAACCGGGTAGTAACGCGAAGAATACCGAGGAAGATCACTTTTTTAAATCAATAAGAACAAGATTTTTGGGTAGTTTGGAGTTGTTGTGAGGTAATGCCGTGAAGGGCAACAGAAATTTCTATATATATATATAATTATGTGTATATATATATGCGTATATGCACACAATTTTATGATTTCTGATATAAGATTGACCATGACCACATATATCAACATATCATATTCGGACAATAAGGAAAATTGATTTAGCGAGCGAAAAGATGTGTCAACAAGTGCTTTCCTGCCCCAATTGCCTGTTCCTTCAAATGCCTCAAAGGCAACACAACAGAAAGTGGCTCGGCTTTCCGTCGCCCTGGAAGATGTGTCAGCATTCTCCATACTGAGAGGGTTTGATCAAGTCACAACACTGCCTACTCGTCAGACATTCAATACATTGTCTGTGAAAGCAAGAACGGAGCTGATTGTCAGACATATAGCAGCTGTTTGCCCTTCAATGTGCAGTCGCAGTACGGCAGCATATTTGGGACCATCACTCCGGCCGCACCGGCCGGTGACATGGTAGGCTTCAGAGGTGCTACCAGGAACTTTCAACTTGACACAAGTCAGGGACTTTCGGGACCTCGATTGGTACAAATCTTGCTGCTCGATGTCACCATAGGTTCTGGTAACTGGGACCCAAAAAAAACATTTGAGGGTGGTAGATTCTACCAGAAAAAACTCAACAGGTTTCCTTTTTCCTAAATTGTTTGATGTTGTAGTGATTGTAGTGTCTCACATTCTTTGGCAAACTGATTTGCTGGGTTTCGTTCGCAAGTGATGTACTGTAAATGGATTTAAATGGTGATGTTCCGTAGCTATATTGAATTACCAGAGGGCGTCCGCACAATCCTAGCCTGGGCGGATAGGCCTTGTTGCCCCAGATTGATATCCGGAGCTCGGGTTCCCTGTTCCAGATTTGGTTTCTTTGTAACACACACCAAAGGGGAAAAAAATAATTTGCAATCTTTGTTGGCGTCCCGACATAATGGTACAGGATAGGTACAAAATGGCTTGAAATTGATAGAACATAGGATTCAATGTGATATGTCAAGTATGATAAATTCTTTGTGTCGGAAAATTTGGTAGACCACCAAATGGCCATGTTGATGGGGCAACATGCGAATTAGCAGTTAGAACATTTGGAGTAGCCGTGAATTTGGAGATATAATAGGGGATAAATCCAGTTTTAACATATGCGGTCAGCCTCTCCAGCTCAATTTCTCTGAATTTTGGTCAAAGTGGTGTGAATTGAAGTCTAGGGGTACTATGGGATACTCGTGTTCCGACGTGTTCCCCAAGGTTCTCTGCATCCCAAAGTCTTCCGGGAAGTTCTTCGTCTCCGACGAAATTTCTTGATATCATCCAGTGGGTCGCCCTGTAGAACCTCTCTAGGTGCCTACAAAGCTGCCAATTTCGATGTCAAATTGTTGGTTACAACTTCAATTATATAACTAATTATAACATATTATAACTATATCCTCTTATTATACCACTTGATTTCAATGAATGTATCTAATTGTATCCAACCATATACCCATATACCAATAACGATCAACATGAGGCTATACATCCCACCTTTGAATCGTTGGGATTCGCTCAGTGAATACCATTAAACCACATCAAAACTTGATTTATGCCAGCTATATCAGGTTGAATCGTCATATAATATTACTATATGATTATATACGAATATGTATGCTCCCCAAAGTGATCCCCCAATAATAGATTGTTAATTGGCCCTTCTTGGTGCTTGTTGGTGATTAAGAAGCCCTTAGACTTGGTTAGCCTCTATATTTCGGGGGGTCACATGTGTTGGGGGTAGTTGATTCCAGTGATATATATATATATATATACATGGTTATATATACACATATTATATATATACATACATGTATATATGTATATATCTATTATATATTAAAACATACATGCATGAATGCATGCATACATTAAATTACATACAATATATATATATCATATAATATATATATATATATAACACGTAATATATATATATATATTGCATATATATATATATAATACATATATATTGCATGTATATTGCATATATATAACACTTAAGTATAATACATAAGTACAGTATAATACATATACATAACACATAAATAATACATATACATAATACATATATATATATGTTACATATATATATAATACATATATACATATATATATAACACATATATATATATATAATGCATATATATAATATATAATATATAATACATATATATATATAATACATATATATATATATGTATACACATATCATATATTCCTATATACACATACAAATATTTTAATAAACGTAATATCCTCATTTCCCATTTGCGTATCACTGCGTCAACACGCTTTACCTCGCGGCCTCGCTTCAGATTGGAGCGCCTGGCGTGAGGCGAATGGCCCACCAGTTGACCCCTGCCGGTTGATGGTTGTGACATGTGACACCAGTGGTGCCCAGTGAAATGGTAGGCCTTATATAGGCCTTATATATGGTAGGTACCTCCAATTTAGGTTCTTGAAATGGCCATTGATGAAATGTTTGTTGGTTTATGGCCCCATTTGACCTTTGACTAATTCGATATATCTACTAAGTCCTTGTGAAATGTGAGTTATTTGCACCAACTTCGCTATCTTGGGAGCACCACTTTGTATAACGTGCAAGACCTTGATGAAGGGTAGTTTAATACTGACTGTACACGACTTGACTTCATTGTTTTCCATAGATATGGGTATTAATATGTTGTTGTAACCAACTAATATTATCTTTGTTAGCAAGTGGTGCGGAACTGCGGCCAGAAAGCCAAGCAAACTAGCGGATAATTTCTAAGTAGGTGGCTGTGAACATGTTTTTACCTTTTGCCATAAATGTTGACTGACCAGCTCGTGTTTTTTTTACTGCAGGGTGTTTTTTCCATTGGCCATCAAGGCCGACCAGCTGGTGGAGTTCCGAGTATTACAATCCAATACGACAGCCTGTATATGTCAGAAACTGTGGTGTATCATTTACGATCTTATGATTATATTCCAGGTCCTGGTCCACCCATTTTTCGTGCAGCTGCCACTGCCAAATAAGTAGTTTTTTTAGTCTGGTGGCATGTATGTCGTATAGTATATATATATATACATGTATATATAGGTAGTGCCTATGTATTTGTAAGAGTATTGTTTAGGTAATATTTGGGCAGTATATAGGTAGTAAATATGAATATGCAGAATGTAGAATATCACAAGTAGAAAGTGTATAGAGTATATAGGTAGTATACATACATGTGGATGTCCATATTATATATATATACATATGATATACATGTGTATATGTATCATTAGTATGAGGTATTCAGATAGTATATGTGGTTGCCCCCTTCCCCGTGTGGGGGGCGGAGGATAGGGGGTTGATGCAGCATATCAGTCGTAGATGAGCAAGGTAGAGTTAGATGTTGTATATAGATTGCATTCAGGCATGCAATGGGTAGTATACCAATAATAGGATAGCATATGAATAGTTTTAAGGTACGCTATTGACTATTGACCATGTATGATATAAGTAAAAACAAAGTCTGTCGGTAAGATGTAAACAGCATGCAGGTAGCACGGTGGGCATGGGATCGGGGGGCCAGAGAAGCAAGTCATCACGTTCCCTGAGGGACAGTGGCCGTTGGTTCACACCACCGTTCCCTATGGTTCCTGACTCCTGATGGGTTCAATGGGCAAATTGGATCATCCTCCAGTCTAGCTCATGTTTTAGCAAAAAGCGCGCCAGTTGGCGCCTGTGATGGTTGTGCAGGCCATTTCATAGGTCAAACCCTTAAACCTCCAAAATGATGGATATACCCTCTGGTTATTTAACATAGCCATGGAAAATGGTCCATTTATAGATGATTTTCCCATTAAAACCTCCATTTATAAGGGATTTTCCATGGCTATGTTAAATAACCAGAGGGTAATATAATTATGGGTTCTCCAGATACCGATACCCTGTAACAATTGGAAGTTGCTTCCAGTACGGTTTTGACAGGTTTCTGGGAGAAAATCATTTGGCCGAGGAGAAGACGCGCTACATGGTGAACCCAGTGGCACCATCTGTGGCACCCGTCATTTTGAGGCCTGTGATGATGCAGAGGTTGGGGTTACTCTTTGGGGCCGAAAACCGATGGGTTTTTGGTGATGTATATATATATATATACAGTATATCTATCTACAATCATGTCAATGTCAATAATTGGCTCTATTATTGGAATTACAGTAGATATGTCTATAGATGGAAGGCTTTGTAAGCCAATTCAGAAGTGGCGAGCCCCTTTCTGTGGCAACAGGAATCAGCATGTTTCAGGTTGCCAGAAGCATTGGACCTGGTTTCAAAACGGTTAAACCACGCTATGTATGCTACATTGAAGCATCTGTTTTGGAGCCACAAATTCAGTGTGTTCATCCACATCATCATTGTCACTTCTATCAGTATAGTGGACTCCATAATAGCAACAATCAGTAATGTGGAGTGTGTAATGCTCATTGTTATCATTATTATGCATGATTATGATTATAATTATAATCATGTTCCATGACGTTATACATAACAAAATATAAATAATTTAAATATATACTATATATATATAATATGACAAAATATAATAAATATATAATATAATATTTAATACATAGTATATAATATATAATATATAATTCATAATATATAATATATAACATATAATATTTGATATATAATATTTGATATATAATATTTGATATATAATATATAATATATAATTCATTATATATAATATATAACATATAATATTTGATATATAATATATAATATATAAAATATGATATATGATATATAATATATAATATATTTTATATGATATGTGATATATATTGTATACAATATACTAAATATACATCATATATTAAATATACATAATATATATAATATATATAATACATATGATATATAATATATATAATATAATTTATATAATATATACAATATACAATATATAATATAATATATATATATAATATTATATATATATATTATATATTATATATAATATATATATAATATATAATATACAATATAATATATATTATATATTATATATAATATATAATATATATAATATATATAATATATATAATATATAATATATATAATATATATAATATATATATAATATATATAATATATATAATATATATAGTATATATAGTATATATAATATATATAATATATATAATTATATATATAGTATATATAGTATATAATATATATATAATTATATATATAATATATATATAATATATAATATATATATAATATATTTATATAATATATTTAATATATTATATATAGTATATATAATATATTTAATATATTTAATATATTTAATATATTTAATATATTTAATATACTTAATATACTTCATATACTTCATATACTTAATATCTAATATATGTTATATAATTTATAATATAATGAAATAAAATATAATATAACATAAATACTATTTGATCTTCTTCACTTGCTAGGTTTGAATCCCTGCTGTCCATATCCACGAGGCGGGTGGACGATCGGAAAGCTTATCCAGCAATGTACAACGAAGGCTGGAATGGAAAGCCGGTCTGGACGATGAAAAAAAAAAATCTCACACCCAGACATGGGATGTAGTTTTATGATATGTTATCATCATGTCCGGCAAAAAAAAACGCAGTTTCGAGGTAGTCTCCAGTTTCTGACAAATTTATTTGGAGGGTGGATCAACAAATTCTTAGACCCAACCCACAGATGCACTGGTGAAAAATACTTGGTGATCTTGAGTACCAAGCATCTCATTTTTAGATTGTTGGGGAGGTTCCCAAATTATAAACCTTGCCTCTTTTGCGGTGGTTGGTGAACGATTTTTTACCAGTTTTCTGCATCAGAGGAATATAAGATCTTCCTTTCAAGAGATTTGTTCAATTCTGTTTGCCATGGACTTGGGCCCTTCTTTGATTAAAGCGACACACTTCGATTCTTACTGTTGAAAGGGGGAGATAAGTTTGATAACATCAAATGTTGACGCATTTTAGCAAGGGATCAACAAAATAAACAGATCACGTAGTGTTCAGCGATCCTAATTCACAGACCTGCCTTGGCTGTGCTGTCATGTGCAATTGCGGCAAATGTAATTTTACCTGTATGGCTGGGCATGGAAAGTATTAAAGCTATCTACTGAGAGTATCTATATAAAGCCAAATAAATTATTCAACAAAAAACATTGGAAGTGAAACGCAGAAAAGAAGTTTTACAATTATGTGATGCGAGAGCAAGACAAAGATCCACGGACCCACCGAGGCATGCTACGCTTTCAAGTTGTGTATGTGTTGCATGGGTGTCCGAATACCATCGCGAAATTATATTTAATCCGTTGAAAGTCACGTGGAACCACCAAGAAACAGTTTGGAGCGAGGATTTTGTTGTCGTTGGATTTTGTTGTTTGGTTTGGTGTGTTATTTTTCCAGGAATTGCCATGAATCAGTTTTTGGGGTAAAACAAACCTGTTCCCTAGTATTTGTCCTTCAGCGCCAGATTGATAGGGCGGCTTGGGCCCAAATCCGTTGCTTTATCATTATATACAATCTTATATGCAAGTTAAGTGATTATTAGTACATCTATTACACATGTGTATGTATGTATACACATATACATGGAATTCTATAGATAGATCGATCAATATATATATGTGTGTGTATAATGGGGTATCATCAACTTACCAATGCTTGGTTGCACATCCGCGCTGAACGAACGTCCTGCAACGCCTGAGGATCTCCAAAGATTGCCATCCACACGACGGAGAAGGTTTCAGTGGTGAAGGGTTGATTTGGGGATTTAACAAGCAAACAAAATGGAATAGAATGGGGATATATTTCAGGGGATCTATCCATGTAACCAAAAAGATGATATTTTGGTGTTTCTGAAAACTGAGGTAATTTTGTTGCCCCAACATTCTAGCAGCCTCCTTAGTAACAGGCATGATTGATTCATTCTATGGGCTTATAGCCTTCTTAGACTTTCCTTGATTGGTTTTTCTTTTCCGTGGATTTTATTTTCCTTTGTTTCTACCTTGGAAACAAAAGGAAAACGAAGGAAAGCAAAGGAAACCAAAGGAAAACCATGGAAATCATCCAGCCCCAAAGCAAAGGAAATCAAAGGATACCAAAGGAAAAATGAGATCATCTAAGAAGAACTGATTTTAGCTAGTCCCGTTGTGTTTCGTGTTGTCTTTGTTGGTTTCCTCCCACAATTAAAAGCCATATTTTGGTGCAACCCATGCGTTGGAAAGGTGGACACCGCTAGCTTTTGGCCCATACTTTGGTGGAAATGCGGAACACCTGTTACAGAAAGCACGCTTGTACTGAGAAGGGACAGAAAAGAAAACAGGAGAACACAAGAAAACCAGAGGTGAAAGGGCAGGTTGAAAATTCGGGCAACATCGGATCGAATCTAAGGTAGTCCTGCTGTGAAGAATGCATGTTCTAGTGATTCTAGTGATGTTACCAAAGAGTTCCTACGAACCATGGCAGTTTTCAGAGGACGATTATGATAAGCCACTGGATGGAATGGACATTGGAGCACAAGCCTTTGCTGATGGGAAAACATGGCTGGACAACTCCCAAGTAATGGGAAAACATGGGATGATCATCGAACTCAACGGGTGATGTTTGGTAAAATCCACTCAGGTTTTTTTGTTTTAGAAACCTAAGCAGCAAAAAGGGGGGCTCTCAAAATTGGGGCCACCAAAATCATCCAAGTTATTGGGTCATGTTAGTCATGTTCTATTTGGAAAATGTATGGAAATTGTGATACTTTACCGAAAAGTAAAAGGATTTGGCCAACATACGTATACACATACACATATTTTGATATATCGGATTTGATTTGTTGGTTTTGTGTTTTGATTTTCAGCTATAAACGAATGACCACAGTCAGACAGTTTCTTGACGCAAAGGGACCCAGAAAAAAATGCTGCAGTTGACCTTCACATAGATCACCCTGTCACCCGTTTGTTCACATGCTGAATCCCGAAGGGTTTGTTGAACCCCCTGAGAGACCCACCAAGCTGATGACAAAGCATTTAGCAGGTTTACATCCCGAAATAACATGGTTTAAAACCCTATGTGTTCATTGCTTTTGTCTTATCAATCTCAAGATTGCCATAAATTCAGGGTAGATCAGCCATTTTCAGACGTAGTAACCCCGAAGTGTGGATGATATCTCGATGATTTTTCGATGTTCAAAGTAACAACAAGAAGCTGCTGGAACTGCAGGCCCCGGACCCCATGACTGAAGACGAGCTTACGCATCGGTCTGGGAGCAGAGTGGTGGAAGGGTGACCTTGTCCCGGGGAGTCATCAGTCCTCCGGAAAGATGACTCCCCATGACAGGTGAGGTGTGGCGATGTTGCGCATGAAGTTCTATGCCAACATTTTTGTTTAACCGTCAAATAAGATATGTAAGATATGGTGGTTGTAAGAGGCTAACTGATCTAACTGGGCTAACTGCTGATTTCAGAAAAGCAAAGTTATCAGGGCATAGTTCAGCAACGGCTTTTTTTGGGGGACATGGGACATCTCATCCAAGTGGTTGGTCATGAGGCAAGCGGTGCCGGGATAGCGAGATAGTTGATTCAAGTTTGAGAAAGACCCATAAATTGAAGCATTCAAGACAAGAAAATCCTTGGATATCCTTGGTATATTGGTGATTTGGTGCGATTCCGATGGCAGGCTGGGCTACAGTTGTTTTTTTGGAACACCAACCCTACATTGATGTCATCACGAAGCCCGGTCTCACAGCTCTCGTGGTAATTTCTAGGAAACCAACCTTCAAATAACTCGGAATTATCAATAAATATAAATAATATGGTCCTATTAATTACTGGTTCCAATCCATATTTGATGGTTCAATCGCACTATCTTGAAATTTAATTCCACCCCGTCAAGACATTGGTTCCAGGAGCCACTTGCTAAGAAGTTTCGACACACATCCCAGTTACTAAGTGATGTTTACATATATTCTGTGTATATATATAATCTGTATATATATATATGCAAATATCATATGATCATATCATATCATATCATATCATATCATATCATACTATATCATACTATATCATATTTTATATTATATTATATTGTATTATATATTATATTGTATTATATATTATATTGTATTATATATTATATTGTATTATATATTATATTATATTATATTATATTATATTATATTATATTATATATTATACAATATTAATGTATATATATATATAAGATTGATATGTATATATATATATACACATTAAACACACACATATATATATATATACCTGTGGATCCAAATACCTTCTAAGGAGGTACAGCGTACCTGGATCCATAGGGCATACGACGCCCAGGAGCGCGGGAATGCGGCCGTGGACGCGCAGCCCGAAGGCTCGCCGTCAATTGCACTGGTGGTTTGAATTGAACACATTTGCGATATGTCTTATGGGGATCTTTTATGGTTATTTATATAATGGGGATTTTATATGATTTATAGTTGGATATAGTATATATAGTTAATTTCAATTTGATGGTGATTGTAAATTATATGTCTTCTTTTCGCTTCCAGGGACCACCAAGATATGGGAATGGCTCAAGAATGGCTCGTATACCCCAAGAAATGGATGAGTAGATACGATTCGCGTGCCATTGGTACCCCATTCCCGAACCTCGGCCATGGATGCTTCCCATACAACTCTCACGTCCGACACGTTTGGTTTTGAAGGCGCCAGCGCCGGAAGCAAATCCATGAATCATATACAAAATATTACAAAATATGTTGCGTAGCTTCTGGAAAGGTCAGTAATAATATTGCGCCATTGGGAGTCCTCAAGAGCTGTCACGCACTTTACGACAGGAAGATCCACCCTTCCTTCCTGGCACAGTACAGACCATCAGGCGTTTTGGGGTGGACAAGTCGTGAGTGGTAAGGCCAATATCAATGAAGCCAATCCAAAGTATGGCAAATCATCGCAACAAGGCGAGAAGATTGGTGCTTTTGCATTTGTTGTTTATATTAAATATTATATATATATATACATAGATAGATGTTGATATTTGTATCCAATTTACCACCCCTTATACCTGAGGCGTGGGGAGCAACCCCGATTGTTGAGAGTACTGTATACTTTAAAGGATCAACGTTAACAAATGGTGTTTTTTTTGACTTACTACATTGATATGAGTATGGAATAAGCACATGCTCCGTATGTATACATACATACATACATACATACATACATACATACATACATACATACATACATACATACATACATACATACATACATACATACATACATACATACATACATGCATACATACATGCATACATACATACATAAATGTATAGAGAGAGAGGGAGATAGATGTAATTTTATGTATATGTATGTATATATGCGTGTATAGGCTGAAAAGTATGAACATCGTTTCTATAATATATATATATATATGTATACATACACGTGTGTTTAGCTTCCCTGCCGGTGTAAATGAGGTAACGTCATTAGGTTGCGGATTATTGGGTCGTTCTTGGAGGTGAATACGGCGATAGCCAACCAATCATGGAGGCCACAGAACCGGCTATACGACAGTTGGTGTTGGTTTTGTTTGTTGAATGATTTTCCGGTTTTGGCCAATGATAGCGATTCCCATAGACCCATAGTTTTTTCGATTCCATCTTGTAGCTGATTATTGAATCTCAAGATTGTTTTTGGACTTCCGATTCCAATCAGACACCATCACATCACATCAATGTTGTGTCAATAAATTCCCAGGTTTAAATTCATAGACAAATGCCGGCCACATCTTGTCTGATTGTTGATTAGCTTAGAGGCTAACAACGGGTAAGCAAATGCGTAAGAGTCCATGGTTTCGTCAACCTTTCATCCAAGCATTAGTTGGGGGGTAACAAGACGGTACATACATGTGCCATGATCGAAACTTGGGTAGTTGGCCACATTGTAGAATGGTCAGTCCATTGTCATAGGAATTCACATACCCATCAAGATTCCTATTATGGGATGGAAGACCATACCTCATAAACATTCATAAATTATGTCTCGACCATGGCACATAAAAAAATCATAAAAATGTCTTATGCCAACCAGCTCTATACATCCATTGGATTGCAGATTTAAGCCACAGAACCTCAGGGGTCAAGCAGTCCTCAGGACACCACTTGGATCCACCAGCACAAGCGCAATCACAGGCGGGTTGGGGCAGTGCTGTGGTTTCTTGTTTGGTATGATACAAGCGTACACTGCAATACATAGTAGCAGTAGTGTTTTTTTTAGATAAGAATATATAGTAAGAACAATGATAATCTAAACATAATGATGATAACTTGACAACAGTTTATAATTATCGTACATACAATTATAATGCATAATACATGATTGTGTGCAATCCAAGTGTCCTTGGCTCATGGGTGTTGATCCATGATATGGGGAGTGAACTATCTCAAATGAGGGTCATTTGGGTTTCAGGTATATGTTTCTGCAATCTACAAGTTTCTGTCTATCTATCTATCTATCTATCTATTCTATTCTTTTCTTCTCTTTTCTTTTCTGTTATGTTCTATTCTCTATTCTATTCTCTATTCTATTCTCTATTCTCTTCTCTGTTCTCTTCTCTATTCTATTCTATTCTATTCTATTCTATCTATCTATATATATATAGGTATACACATAGTCTATATAACGCAGTTTCTTGGCGAATCCAATTTGCGAACATGAACCAAATTCACAAATCAAGGATAGGGAGGGCTGTGGTTATCGAAATGACATTGCATGTAGGGCCAGGGCGGCCAGGGGGGAACTTGAAATTGAAGAATTGACTTAGAATGCTGACAAGAAGTCTTGTAGAGAATAAACACAGCCGTAGGCGGCGGGAAATCTTTAAATGTCTGAGAATGGTGATGAAGAGTATTGTACAGGATAGTATGCTGAATCGTGAGAGTTTCTGAATCGCGTGGGTTGCTGAATCGGGAAAGTTGCTGCACCAGGAGTTGCTGAACCGAAGTTGCTGAATCGCAGTTTTAAAATCCGGAGTTGCTGAATCACTTGTTGAATTGGAGTGTGTTCCGACACATTGTTCTTTTAAAGCGCATAAAGCCGCCGAATATCAATCTGCACGATCAGTACTAGATTACACTATTCAGTTGATTGGCCTTGAACCCAAATGCAACCCAGAAACTTGCTGCTTGTTGCAGTATTGAAATACCACATCCTATACTCCAGGTTTTGAAGCCCGTTAGATTTGAGTAAAAACATTTTCCCTTAAAACAACGGGGTCATGGAGCAGCCCCCGACGCCAGGCGTTTGGAGCTCCACACCGAGGTCGGATGCCCTGGCGGTGCAGGCCTTGCAGGCCTGTCCCGGGGTTTCACCATGGAAGCATCAAAGATGGTCCTGGTTGAAGATGATGATTTGATGATTTGATGATTTGATGATTTGATGGTTTGATGATTTGATGATTTGATGATTTGATGATTTGATGATTTGATGATTTGATGGTTTGATGATTTGATGATTTGATGGTTTGATGGTTTGATGATTTGATGATTTAATGATTTGATGATTTGATGGTTTGATGATTTGATGATTTGATAATTTGATGGTTTGATGATTTGATGATTTTATGTTTTGATGGTTTGATGACTTCATGATTTGATGATTTTCTGTTTTGATGACTTGATGATTTAATGATGATGATGATTTTATGTTTTGATGATTTGATGGTTTGATGTTTTGATGATTTGATGATTTGATGATTTTCTGTTTTGATGATTTGATGACTTGATGATTTGATGATTTGATGGTTTGATGATTTGATGATGATGATGATGGGTTTTTATAAGCATTAACAATTTGGATTTTGATGGTGTATGATGGGGATTTGATGGGGATAGATGGTGATACAGTCTTGATTGTAACGACCTCGCTGCGACCTCACTGGAATGATGGTTAGTTAGATATGGCTAGTAAGGTTGTTAGGGGTAACTATCCCAAAATAGCCTCATTTCAGGTCAGTGAATTGTTATAATTATCATACCCAGAAACATGATGAACACTGCAGGTGTTTCAAGACCAATATGTGAATCTATGATTTAAAGAATGCGGATTTCACTACGAAACCGTTTGGAATTTGACCATGGGTTACATGTATTTATACCATCAAGTATTCAAAAACTGGGATTTCAACCGTCAAGACTACGTATTGATTTCATTTCACCACGAAACATGGGGTTGTCAGGTGACAGTCGCAACAAACAGTTAGGTTTAAGTTCCAACGATTTTCTGGGTCAATCATCAAAGTGGGACGTCAGCCAACAATCAAAGTGATATCAGATATCATTGGTGTTGATATCCACAGTTTCCACATGTTTTTTATAGCAAGCCCATTAAAAGATCATTCAGAATAACAGTCAATCTGTATCAACAACTGCGTAATCGCGTTTCGATCCAACATGTGGACGTTTCCTAACCTAAGACCTCCCAATTGTCCACGTCATGGATGGTCCCATGGTGACTGTGGAACCCCGACTTCAGAAACTTTCAGGCGCAGGCCAAACCGCACTCGGTGCAATTGCCGATCCAAGGCGCCATGATGTGCCACGGCACCCGGGGGTTGAACAACGGGTTGCATCCAACATGACAGGTTGAACAATGTTTAATGTTAATGTGGCTTTAATATCCTGAAAAATCTGTGGTCATCAGGGGTGAAGCATCAAAACTGCTGAGTGGGGATTTTGCCATGAAACACGAAGGGTTTTTGCCATGGTTCAATCGTGCGAAAATGATGATTAATTACATGACAGGCAGTAATCAATTCCGCCCCCCAAATAAACCTCATTTTAAATATGTGTTGTTTTTTTCTTATGACCTCCATTTACATGGCATGCCCACGTCAAGACTTCCAGAAATGAGAGGAAGATCATCGCAGGTCGTGGCACCTCTCCGTCTGGGAGCCTGGTTGATGGCTTGCCGCAAGAGCCACAACTTACTGGTGCATTTGTTTTAGGGAATGGATGGGAAATTGGGGGAATGGGATGATTGTTAATAAGCTATATATTATATGAATATTATATGAATATAATATGAATATTATATGAATATATGTCTAAATTGTATAATTCTGTGTAATTATAATAGATCATACCCCCATTCCCTACTAAGCACCAGTAAGATGATGGACGGAATATCTGAAATATGTGAATGCTAAATGCATGCTAATACCACGAATGGACGGCAAGCGTAACAACATACCTCCATGCAAAATCACATGTTGGGTGGAACATGGACCAAATTGTTTTTCGGTTTCAACCGTTGGAATTTTGGGGTGCCCATGTCAAATCCCCAACCCCCAGGGCCCTCAAGTTTCGAAAAACATACGGCAAAGTACCCATTTCATCCCGTTTCCTATCTTCGCTGCCTGGGTCTGTGCATTTGCCGTTGGCAACTTGGGCTCAAACTGCGATCCTGAAGTCCTCAATGCTGCTTTCAAAACTTCGGAAGTCGAAGGGCCAGGACCTGCATCTCATGTAGAAAAGACTCACCCTGACATGTCACCGAGCGTGATATATTAGGGTTACATTGCGAGATTTGGAGAATGGTGCCTTCTATTCATAGCACATACACTTCACATACACTGCTTCTTTGACCTTTGTTACTGCCATGATGCTGCAAGCACGGCGCAGCTTGGCAGATGTTACAGCGTCGCATTCAATTCGTTCCCATTCCAGTGGAATGACTCCACCCAAAACTGTTTCGCCATTGAGCTAACTGAAACTCGGAGAACCCCTCAAAAAATATCATAAAACAAGGGTTTTCCCATGGTTTTCCCATGGTTTTCCCATGGAACAACAACCAACGTTTGGGTAACGGAGGACCATGGCCTTCCCATGGCGGCCATCCCAGGTTCTTTGACCTCCTGCTTTGATGGGATGCTGGAAACTTGGTGAGTGGAAAGCCATGGGAAAACCATGGGAAAAGCATGGTTTCGGCGAATGAAACATCTATGAAATCATTGAACATCTGAGAAGTACATGAAAATCCCAGAAATATATGAGGACAAAATTGAGGACATAGTTCATCCACGCGAGTGGAATGGTTTATTTTGATTCAACCACGGAAATATACGCATATAGAGGAAAATATGAGGAATTATGAGGACCATCTTAGAAAACTGCAGTTGGTGGATAGTTGCTGAAAATGGCTTGAATTCTGCCATTTTGTCAATGACAGATTTCGGACAAACAAAAACCACATATTGATGCATATTGCACAAAAATCATTTCTTGAATAAGTCACTCACCATCATTCATCCAGTTTTTCCATGGTGAGCAACCTATATAACAGTTGATGAATAACCATGAATAACCCACGTGTTTGTTGAATCGATAAAGCACCAGGTTTCAAGACCTGAGGATTTGCTGCAAGACGTGTCCAGTTCCATCGGCTGGGCGGAGAAGTTCCTTGGTTTTGGATGGGCATTCATCATTTTATATCCGCATCTTTTCAGCATGTGGATGTGGGTCAAAATGGAAGACCTAGGGGACCACAGATGTTAGTCTAGTTTAGTATTCACCATCCAATTATTGGGGTACCTAATTTTGACCCATACCCATGTTTTGGCTTGCAAGTTGTGTATATTGTTTTAGACAGAATAGTTACAGTAATAGTTTGCACAGCCGGTTTTATCAATCCGCAATGTAAGTGGGATAAGGAGGTCTATCATAGGGGTACACCCAATTAAAAAATATATCATAACAAGTCCAGATCAGATCTCAACATAATCTAATCTTATAAAAATGAAACACACACATGCAAAACAGAGTTTGTCATTGGGCTTGCCGTATTGCTTAATGTCTACATCAACAGGCTGACCTTTCATCATCACTGTTGCTTCAGCGGTACTCTTGGAAGTGGTATATAGATAGATTTCTACCGATACTCAGACCATCTCAGACCCTCCCCCTCAATGTACAGTTTTAATGTATCTGTAAACATTGGCATGTTACACGAGCTTGCTGTTTATCACATTTCTTGGTGTACTTTGTGGGTCAAGGTATATACAGTACATATATGTGTGTCCAACCTTCCAACCTGATATCTGTACTTTTTCAACATACAGTACGTATATATGTATGTATTGTTTATGGGTTTTATATGGTTTTATCAAATGGGTGTTTGAACCCCCTGCTATTTTATTGCAGCAAAAAGATGATCCAAGTCCTGCTTGAGCCCTCGAGGATGAATGGTGCCATGGTGCCGGTGTCGCCTGCAGAGAATGTGAAGATGACGCTGAAGTCTGGAAAGGTGCCAGAGGACTTGCGCCAGTCCAAATCAGGTTCTCTATTTTATGTCCGTGGGGAGTCGACGGGGAGTCCAACCTGCAGGTGATAGCCACAAGGAGGAACACAAGGGCTCACAAGGCTGTTTGGATGTAGTATTTGCTTTGGAACCATGATTTCAAAGTATGGTTACATGTTGGGCCTCCCCCAACTCTAAGTTGGTGTATATATCCATTATTATCTGTTGCTCTGGCCTAATTATCAGCCAACTTACCCATTTGTTCGTGGTTTCAAGCATGGTTCCTCCTATTCGGGACAATGAATCAAAATGGTCTTTATATTGTGCAGTTGGGTTGAAAGCAGTTTTATACCTATCGTTTGGGGTAACTAGTTTGTACCAACCAATTTCCGTCCATAGTTACTATTCATTACTAGCCATTACTGCTATGGTTATAGTGCAGTAGCCATGGTCATAGTCACAATGGTGCTTCACCATGGTTGCTATCCATGGTTAGTATCCCAGTTTTATCCCAGAATTCCACATTGAATCTCACATTACTATGGCCACTATTATCCCATAATCCCGCTATACTCGCACTATGATCTCATTTAAGTCACGCAGATTTTCATCCCATCACCAGGACCTCACAGGTGTCTACATGCGCGTGGGGCCGAACGCCCAATTCTGGCCGCCCAAGAAACGCACCCACGCCTTCGATGGCGAAGCTTGGGCGGTTTTGGATGGGTTGGATCATGATGAAGATGATGATGATGATGATGATGATGATGATGATGATGATCATGATGATGATGGTGACGGTGACGGTGATGGTGACGGTGATGATGGTGATGATGATGATGATGATGATGATGGTGATGGTGATGGTGACGGTGACGGTGATGGTGACGGTGATGGTGACGGTGATGGTGACGGTGATGATGATGGTGATGATGATGATGGTGGTGGTGATGATGATGGTGATGATGATCATGGTGATGATGATCATGGTGATGATGATCATGGTGATGGTGGTGGTGGTGGTGGTGGTGGCGGCCATGATGGTGGTGATAATGGTGATGATGTTGATGTTGGTGATGGTGATGATGACGGTGATGGTGATGGTGATGGTGGTTATGATCTTGATGGTGATGATCATGTCGATGATGATGACAGTGATGATGATTTTGGTGATGGTGGTTTTGGTGATGATGATGATGATGATGGTGGTGATAGTGATGCTGGTGATGATGATGATGATGATGATGATGATGGTGGTGATGGTGATGATGATGATGATGATGATGATGATGATGGTGATGGTGATGGTAATGGTCATGGTGATGATGAGGATGACCATGACGATGATGATGATGTAGATGATGATGATGATGATGATGGTGATGGTGATGGTAATGGTAATGGTCATGGTGATGATGAGGATGACCATGACCATGACCATGATGATGATGATGACGATGATGACGATGATGATGATGATGATGATGATGCCGATGATGGCGATGATGGTGATGATGGTGATGATGGTGATGATGATGATGATGATGATGGTAATGGTCATGGTGATGATGAGGATGACCATGACGATGATGATGATGATGTAGATGATGTAGATGATGTAGATGATGTATTAGGTACCCTTCACCAACAACACGAGGCACAATTGTCATGATTTTGTGGTGGTAAATGTGGTGAAAATGCATGAAAATGCGGGCCACACAAAAATCACCCTATTGATACTGTAGGATCATATAACATCATATAACTACTAATTGTGTTTTTCTTGCAGAATTCCTGGCACAAAAAAAAATGGTACCATCCATGATCTGCTCCCATCCATGGGATGATCATACTCTCAGGACGGCATGGTCCATAGCGTGTCTTGACGGCGACGACAAATCGTGAAGCGAAAACGAGGATCACTGACAATTGACAATGGAAATGGTTGGAAATGGTTCTTTTTAGTTCCTCAATGTTCCTCATTTTTGGGGGATTAGACTTGATTAGACGTGTTTTTCTATGGTAAAACACGTTGTGTTTTTTGATTCTTGGGCTAGTTGTGAATTCTAGCCTTTTAGCAGCGATCCGAAATGAACGCTTGATGGGTGGGGCTATTCGGGAAGGATTTCGAGTCGTCTGGGGTGAGTGTTTTGTCCCAGAATGGTACACCAGTCACAACAGATGGTGGGACATCAATCTCCGGAACATGAGCTGGATGTATCTAAATGCCCTCCAAGACTCTGTTGTTTTTAGAAAAAAACATATCTACTGTTTACCGTTTCTAGATTTCAGAGCAATGTGCTGAGACGGTCAACTCACTGAACAATGGATTTCTTTGGGGAACAAGTGGTTTATAAACCATTCAAATCTACGTAGTTATGTAAGAAAATACAACGCAGTGATTCACCAGTTCACAAATTCCTTGGCCAATCTAAGTGTTGATTGGTCGTTCTAGGGACTATGCTACCTGTTTTATTTATTGGAAATTGTATGATCCTTGATACCTCTAGCCAACGAGTAGATAAAGAATGGGTAATCGGGCGCCCGTCATGGCTCAATCCAAGCACATCCTGAGATAGAGAATGGTTGGAACTTACCATATTTGCATGGGTCTCAATATGGAACTTATTATATAGTTCTATATTTGCATTATCATAATATGGAACTTATTATATAGTTCTATTTGTAATGGGAACTTGCCACATCAATGGTTGGTTTTATATAGAGGTCTCCCTATTATAGCCCACATTTCTCAATCAATGGCTTTCCAATTACAAAATGGTTTTACTATATTGATTGGGGAATAGGGATACCTCTACTACATTATAGCCAATGGTATTGATTCAGAGGTCTCCCTATTATGGCCCAGAATTCCCAATCAATGGCTTAATCTGATCATCAACCAAAAAAAGTCTATGTGATTATGGCCTATTATAGCCTTCTTTTTAATCAACCAATTTTCACACCTTCCTTTGTGGTTTCCACCAAGGTGCGGATCTCCGGTGGTGAAGCGGCTTGGACTAAATGGACTAAGCCATGGGTCAAGCCATGGGTCAGCCCTATGGGCCCACAGATTTCAACTATATGAGTATTAATCCACTTCATGGTGTACCTAATTTTGACCCCAAAAACCATCAAAAACCCATCTAATATCATCTGACTATACTGACTATACTTAGGATCACTATTCAACCATGCGGCCATCTGCTTAAGAGTTAGAAACCAAGTTAGCTAACTCTGCACCCGGGAGATACGCGGCCCTTTTTCTTCATGGTACCATATTGGAGCCTTAGGCTGGCGGAGTCTCGTTGCCAGACAACTGGTGGAAGCACTGGTGGGGATTTTATTGTTCAAATGTACTAGATATATCATGATATATCCGGATCTTACCATTTCCTCTGCGATTCATCTGTGATTACACCGTAGGTTTTTTCCCCATGCTGCTTGGTGGTGACGTTCGTTTCCTCACAGAGGTTGATGATGGAGACTGCCTCATGTTTGGGATGAATGGTTTATTTATCAACCGCATCAGATGAGATCCAACCCCACGTGTCTCCGAATTCCTGAGACAGAAAGGGTCTTGCTGTTGCTGTTGCTGATCTACTTTAGTTAGTTGTGATTCCGAGTCATTCTGTACCCAGGTAATTAGTCTCTTATGTTTGTCATTATGTTGCTTTATGTGGGTAAAACAATGTCATAAACCACCCATTTGGGAATGGTTTCTTTTCACCTAGTTATGGTGAAATTGGGGATGGTTTGTTATTGTTTTACCGACATTTACCAACATTAATGGTTACCCTCTGGTAATTTAACATAGCTATGGAAAATCCCCATCCACTATAAATGGCCATTTTCAATAGCTATGTTAGTTTACCAGAGGGTATGTATTGCTTATAAAAGTCTCACTGCTAAGTCCTAACGCCCATGAACATGACCGGGATGTATAGTGCTGTGCACCTATGGACGTTACCCGGACTCCGATCATGATCGCAAAAGCGGACAGATGTGAATTCCCGACGTCCCGAAATTCATTTGGGGTTGGGTCAATACCTATTAATACCATTTTTAGGTGGATGAACATCCATTTACCAGCTATTTTGATGTTCACCAGGGGTACAAGGTTTTGACACACTGCCATTTAGAGGCTTCCTAAAATGGGGGGTACTCTCAAAACAATGGGTTTCAATACTAGAATTACTAGAACGGATTAATTTTTGGATGATTTGGGGTACCCCCATTTACTGGGCAAATTGACATGAAAACCACGGAACAAAAGTGCCAGAAGAGGTAGAACATCAGTAAGCCACCAAGGTAACTTGCGGATACAAAACACACTCAGGTACAAGGTGGTGTCCATAGTCTATCGCGAGCAAAGGAAGTTCAAAACCAATAACTTAATTAATAGTTAACTATTATTAGTTAACATGGGTTATAGTAACAGTCAACCACTAGGTCACCAAATCAGGTAAAAACCCGATCGTTCACAACATTTTTCACGTAGGTCTGACGAGTCACGTCCATGGTGTTATGGACGACAGTGCCACCAAGGCCAGCTACCACTGTCGCTTCATGGAAACACCCCGTGTTTCGGCGCTGACTGGCTGACTGGTGATTTCAACATATCTGCAGTAATATGTGGCCTGGTCATCTGTAGTTGGACCAATCGTCCTAAATTGTATTTATGTATAATATGTATATATATATACACCTGTATAATACATGAATATATATACATACATACACATACACATACACATACACATACACATACACATATACATATACATATACATATACATATACATATACATCATATATATACTATATATATATATGGAACATGGAACGAGCTGCTTCTCCATGACCCTGGACACCAAAGGTTCAACTCTTTTCTATGAGAACATAGGTTCAACCATAGGCTGCAGGCCTCTGAATTTGTACTTGGCCCATGTTATTATCATTTCAACCTGATGCTTTGTAGCACATGGGTCTGTCTGAAAATAGGGGGAACCCCAGCAATTGCTATTTGATGGGGAAAATAATGATAAACCAGAGGATTTAGGGATACCCACATGTTTCGCCATATTTTTGGGGATCTTCATTGAATTTGCTGGCCAGAAAATCGACCAAACACGCAGGTTACCTCCAGTTTAGGTCCCTGAAAGAGGGTCCCTCATGATGCGTTCCTCCAGTTACTGTTTGAGGCTACATGTTTGAGAAGGAGATGGGTTCCGAGTGGTCTCTTGCCCTTTTTTGCACCTGTGTAGCCTGTGTGGCGCTACGGGGAAGTCACAGTAGTCTCACGTTGTGATTTTGTTGTTTTTTTTGTGTGGCTTTGAATTTGAGATTTGTTGCATCAACATTGAGGCCACAAATGGCCGTGCATTGCCTTCATAGTTGAAGAACATAGTTGAACCATGTTGAACCAAATGGCCGCCCTCAATACGTAGTTGATTTTGAGCCTTCAAGTGGCCGCTTGTTGCCTCCATAGAACATAACATGTACAACGTATGATTTCATTGGTTGCCCTTCGGACATAGCACCAAGCTAGAACTTCTACATGGTTGGCCGAAAAATGTGAGGGGTCACAGCCAAACCTTCTATATTAAAACATCTTAAACGAAATTGTTGTCAGATTTCAATGGCACTCTGGAAGCAAAGACAAAAACAGGACAGCCGGACAGCCGGTGTTTTTGCCCTGGATCCCGAGAATTTCACATCGTTTCTTCGAACAGGGGACCACATATGCTCATCACTTTTGAATATAAATAGGATCTGTCTGAAAATAGGGTACCCACATCCCCAAATCCACCGATTCTCCAAAGTTTTTCAGCAACTTTATCTACAACGTGGTGCACCAAAGATAGCTAAGATTAGCTAAGTTGGTACATTGTTTTACTCCAATCACGTCCAATAACATCCAATAACTATGGATCTACCATATAAACCCCACCGGTAAGTGCCTCGTTTGTACACGCGAAACCCAACTCGGCTGTACACGCGAGAAACCAACTCGGTTGTGCACGCGGATGCTGATGATTATGATGGTGATGACGGTGATGGTGATGACGGTGATGACGGTGATGACGGTGATGACGGTGATGGTGATGACGGTGATGACGGTGATGACGGTGATGACGGTGATGACGGTGATGACGGTGATGACGGTGATGACGGTGATGATGATGATGATGATGATGATGATGACGATGATGCTGGTGATGATGATGATGATGATGATGATGATGATGATGATTATGATGATGATGATGATGATAAGTCGAAGGAAGTGGAGTAGCGGTTGTGTCCCTATAATGAAGTTAAGCAACGATTGTGGCTGGTAGATCCTACCCTTTTCTTCCCTAGCCCCACCCCACCCCCGAAGGTTGAAGAGTGATGGTAAGTGGAAAGAAGTGGAGTAGCGGTTGTGTCCCTATGATGAAATTAAGCAACGGTTGTGGCTGGTAGATCCTACCCTTTTCTATGATGATAAGTCGAAGGAAGTGGAGTAGCGGTTGTGTCCCTATAATGAAGTTAAGCAACGGTTGTGGCTGGTAGATCCTACCCGTTTCTTCCCTAGCCCCACCCCCCAAGGCTGAAGTGTGATGGTAAGTCGAAGGAAGTGGAGTAGTGGTTGTGTCCCTATAATGAAGTTAAGCAACGGGTGTGGCTGGTAGATCCTACCCGTTTCTTCCCTAGCCCCACCCCCCAAGGCTGAAGTGTGATGGTAAGTCGAAGGAAGTGGAGTAGTGGTTGTGTCCCTATAATGAAGTTAAGCAACGGGTGTGGCTGGTAGATCCTACCCGTTTCTTCCCTAGCCCCACCCCCCAAGGCTGAAGTGTGATGGTAAGTCGAAGGAAGTGGAGTAGTGGTTGTGTCCCTATAATGAAGTTAAGCAACGGGTGTGGCTGGTAGATCCTACCCGTTTCTTCCCTAGCCCCACCCCCCAAGGCTGAAGTGTGATGGTAAGTCGAAGGAAGTGGAGTAGTGGTTGTGTCCCTACAATGAAGTTAAGCAACGGGTGCGGCTAGTAGATCCTACCCTTTCCTTTCCTTAGCCCCACCCCACCCCCCAAGGTTGAAGTGTGATGGTAAGTCGAAGGAAGTGGAGTAGCGGTTGTGTCCCTATAATGAGGTTAAGCAACGGGTGTGGCTGGTAGATCCTACCCTTTTATTCCCTAGCCCCACCCCACCCCCCAAGGTTGAAGTGTGATGGTAAGTCGAAGGAAGTGGAGTAGCGGTTGTGTCCCTATAATGAAGTTAAGCAACGGTTGTGGCTGGTAGATCCTACCCTGTTCTTCCCTAGCCCCACCCCACCCCCGAAGGTTGAAGAGTGATGGTAAGTCGAAAGAAGTGGAGTAGCGGTTGTGTTCCTATGATGAAATTAAGCAACGGTTGTGGCTGGTAGATCCTACCCTTTTCTATGATGGTAAGTCGAAGGAAGTGGTGTAGCGGTTGTGTCCCTATAATGAAGTTAGGCAACGGTTGTGGCTGGTACATTCTACCCTTTTCTTCCCTAGCCCCACCCCACCCCCCAAGGTTGAAGTGTGATGGTAAGTCGAAGGAAGTGGAGTAGCGGTTGTGTCCCTATGATGAAGTTAAGCAACGGTTGTGGCTGGTAGATCCTACCCTTTTCTATGATGGTAAGTCGAAGGAAGTGGAGTAGCGGTTGTGTCCCTATAATGAAGTCAAGCAACGGTTGTGGCTGGTAGATCCTACCCTTTTATTCCCTAGCCCCACCCCACCCCCCAAGGTTGAAGTGTGATGGTAAGTCGAAGGAAGTGGAGTAGCGGTTGTGTCCCTATAATGAAGTTAAGCAACAGTTGTGGCTGGTAGAGCCTACCCTTTTATTCCCTAGCCCCACCCCACCCCCCAAGGTTGAAGTGTGATGGTAAGTCGAAAGAAGTGGAGTGTCGAAGGAAGTGTTGTAGCGGTTGTGTCCCTATAATGAAGTTAACTAGTAGCGGTTGTGTTCCTATAATGAAGTTAACTAGCCCCACACCACCCCCCCCAAGGCTGTGTGTGTACAACTGAGTCAATTTTGTGTGTACAAGTGAGTCAGAATCCTGTGTGTGCAGCTGAGTCAATTTTGTGTGCGCAAGTGAGGCGCTTACGAACCCCAGCACCGATCTATATAGGATGTGTTTTATATAGTATAATTATATAACATTATATCACTATCTATCTATTATATATCATCCAATAAAAATGATTCATTGTATATATTATATAGTGTATAATTATTTAACTATCTATTATATTATATAACTGCTGGGGCACAGGTTCATCCGTGTGGGCGAAATGAGTGGCCTCGCTGGGCTGCTGAAGATGATGACAATGGTACCTCGCCAGTCTCGAAAAAAACCAGTGGGTTGGACGGTCATAGGTGGCTTAAAAGCGGCTTTACCAGCCATAAGCCCATATATATATATATATATGTATATATATATATATATGTATATATATATGTATATATATATACATATATATATACATATATATATACATATATTACCCAATTACCGGGTTGGGAGGGGGTTCAACATCTTCGAATGCTTTTTCCAGATCCGGGATGATTGAGATGGGCTACAAGCAGCAACCTACAGAATATTGGGAAGATGAACCACGACAATCCTCAGCATCCAAAAGTGAATAGGTAATCTACCGGTGCGGCATCCGCTAGCTCCTTCGATGTTTTGAGGTAGGGGGGGGTTGAATAGCGAGATTGGGATAGATTCTACTGAGTCTACTGTAGCAACAAGAAAGACGGCTTGATAAACCTGAGTAGTTCCGCTGGTTTGAATTGTCAACAAGATTTGACATTTCAGTCACAACAAACCGACCTGGTTCACTTTTAGTATCATGAGGGTCACCAGGAAAACTGCCAAAGATTCTTGAGGGTTAAGCTTTGGCCGAAGGGTACTGCTGCACGGCTGCTGGATTCCAGCGAAATTCGGGCAGCACTGCGGTCCCAGGTCATTAAAGGGAATGTTCAAGGGATGTACTCTTGAAATCAGAGCAGGTACTTTGACGTGCATCTCCGTCTCTGTAGCAACTTTACAAGCCATATGAGCACCATGAAATTTAATAAGTATAACTTGTGAGCCATTATATAAGCCATTACTCACTGGTTTATAATGTGGTTATTGCCCAAGTGCTCACACGGATGCACCCCGCACATCCCCGCACCATTCTGTCTCGAGGCTTACAATCTCAATATGGTAACCGTATTTTGTCTTATCAATAGGTCAGTAGCCCATGCAATGGTGTGAAAATCTTGCATTTTGCAGGTACATGGCTACCTACACTTTGTCATAGTTCAGAGGTTCCTCAAACAGCCACTCAACCAAGGATTCCCCAGTGCCATACATCCCCTAAATCCAATCTGGAACTATAAGATTTCTGGCCATATCCAAGTGCGGAAAGCCATATTCTTGTTGAGGCTACCCCCAACATCCCATGGCGTCACATCTTCCATCGCAATGTGGTGGGCTCGTGGGGGACAGTCACCTCGCAGCACATACCAGGCTTACGGACAGACCCGCATATTTAAGGGCTGCCGCCCCTGCCGCCGACCCCGGAAAAGAATAAGTAAAGGTTCTCTTGCCGAAGTAAACGTTCGTAAGGTTCCGCATGTTTTGCGGACCATGCAACTGTTCGAGAAAGTGAAACAATATCCGGCAAAATATACCTGATGCAGATGACTTATAGGCCTTGAGCAGATGCCGCAATGTTCCAATTTCATCAAGGGCTGGTGAAACAGGCAAGAGTGACGAGACAGTTGACATGAAGCTTGCTCTGAACTGAACAACACATCTATGTGCATTTGGGCTGAGAGACCTAAGACAAAACTGCTAAAAGCTATTAGGACAAGAAAGCTCCAGCTTAGAGGTCACCACATATCATCACAAAGACCTAAGGTGTGGTGCATCATTTTTTTGTGCGCCACGCAAAAGTTATTTGTTTAGAGTTGTTAGAACGACATGCTGCAGATGTGACTTGCCCATGGTTATTTTGGCTACACTTTGCCCTTGCAGACTTCGACCCAAGTGAGGGAGCCAAGCCGTGGATCAAGAGGAAATTTCAAAATGTGAAGAAGGAAAATGGATGACGATTGTATGGTTTCCATTAGGTATTGTGGAAAAACGGCATGTGGGGGTGCAACATGCCTGCTGCTGCTGGCGAACGCCTGCGAAACACTTCCCGGCAGTAAAACAGCATGGCCCTAAAGGACGAACC